TTTGTCTACTTTTGATAACAGACTGCGGTGTCGAGACAAGATAGGAGTTGAAGGCTGCACAGTAAGTGCACATTCTCGAATACCTTCACAACTCATGGCCACGGTGTTATCTCGTGACACAAATAAAGACCAGCGGTTGCCAGATAAACAGTGTTGTTTCATACCCTAAGAACTAAGAACGCTCATACGAAATGCATCTCATTATAAAAATACCTATTGTGTATTACAGTGATACAGTGATACACTTTGTTACTTTGACCATTAAAAAAGTAATTGAGCACGTAATTAAAAACTAATTAAAGTGGCTTCCATCAAAATAGAATGCTGCTCTTAAAGGTTCTCCCTACCCTCTAAACCCTGACAATGAATCGACTGCTCTCTAAAGATAGAGGATAATATTTTTGTTTGTCGTATGAAATATTCAACAACCTGCACATAAGAACCAACATCAGATCCACCGAAATATATAACTTCGTGTCAAACAGAATATAGAACATATAGCTGCACAAATACATTTTGTATTTTTAATTCAGTAAGCTGTTGTAAAAATTCAATAGGTTAACAAAACAATACTTAAACAATAAAACATACGTATTTCTTATACATACTAAATCATTTAAAAAGAATACTGTGACAGACTCTATTCCGTTATCGTCGACCAAACCTCCATATTACATGCACACATGAACAATGACTATGCCCAAACGTAAACAAGAAGTTGTCTTTTCCGCATCGTAGTATCCGCTTTGGAGCTTTATATCTTCTTTGCTTTGGGCAAGGGTCTTTGCTGATCGTTTCTACCTGGTTCCCGGGTATGTTGTGCTGGGGCTAGGAAGTCATGTCAACATACCCTGGAAATCCCAGTGGTGTCGTTTCGGCTATGACCGCGAGGAAAAGAGGAATCGTTCACTGAAATGGGATTTTAAATTTATCAAATACTTCCATGATTCGTCTGTACAGCACAGCCTTTACACCTTAAGGATAGTAATGAGAGAAAATAATAAAAACTTAATAAATATCACCTCGTATTTAAAGTATAAATACCAGTTAAAATGAATTACTATTTCCGTGTTTTACCCCTGTAAAAAGTCAACTAAAACCTCGCAGATGTGACATGTAAAGATATACAACTCAGGATCAACTTAGATCAACTTATATATGAAGGACACACTCAATCAACTTATATGAAGCGGACACACTCAATCAACTTATATGAAGGACACACTAATCAACTTATATGAAGGGACACACTAATCAACATATGATCACTAATCAACTTATATCAAGGGACACACTCAATCAACTTATATGAAGCGACACACTCAATCAACTTATATGAAGGGACACACTCAATCAACTTATATGAAGGGACACACTCAATCAACTTATATGAAGGGACACACTCAATCAACTTATATGAAGGACACACTCAATCAACTTATATGAAGGACACACTCAATCAACTTATATGAAGGAACACACTCAATCAACTTATATCAAGGGACACACTCAATCAACTTATATCAAGGGACACACTCAATCAACTTATATGAAGGAACACACTCAATCAACTTATATGAAGGGACACACTCAATCAACTTATATGAAGGGACACACTCAATCAACTTATATGAAGGGACACACTCAATCAACTTATATGAAGGAACACACTCAATCAACTTATATGAAGGGACACACTCTATATGAAGGGACACACAACTTATATCAAGGGACACACTCAATCAACTTATATGAAGGGACACACTCAATCAACTTATCAACTTAGGACACACTCAATCAACTTATATGAAGGGACACACTCAATCAACTTATATGAAGGGACACAACTTATATGAAGGAATCAACTTATATGAAGGACACACTCAATCAACTTATATGAAGGGACACACTCAATCAACTTATATGAAGGGACACTCTCAATCATATGAAGGAACTTAATATGAAGGACACACTTAATCAACTTATATCAAGGGACACACTCAATCAACTTATATCAAGGGACACACTCAATCAACTTATATCAAGGGACACACTCAATCAACTTATATCAAGGGACACACTCAATCAACTTATATCAAGGGACACACTCAATCAACTTATATCAAGGGACACACTCAATCAACTTATATCAAGGACACACTCAATCAACTTATATCAAGGGACACACTCAATCAACTTATATGAAGGGACACACTCAATCAACTTATATGAAGGACACACTCAATCAACTTATATCAAGGGACACACTCAATCAACTTATATGAAGGGACACTCTCAATCAACTTATATCAAGGGACACACTCAATCAACTTATATCAAGGAACACACTCAATCAACTTATATGAAGGACACACTCAATCAACTTATATCAAGGACACACTCAATCAACTTATATGAAGGGACACACTCAATCAACTTATATCACACACTCAATCAACTTATATCAAGGGACACACTCAATCAACTTATATCAAGGAACACACTCAATCAACTTATATGAAGGACACACTCAATCAACTTATATCAAGGGACACACTCAATCAACTTATATGAAGGGACACACTTAATCAACTTATATGAAGGGACACACTCAATCAACTTATATCAAGGAACACACTCAATCAACTTATATGAAGGAACACACTCAATCAACTTATATGAAGGAACACTCAATCAACTTATATGAAGGGACACACTCAATCAACTTATATCAAGGGACACACTCAATCAACTTATATGAAGGACACACTCAATCAACTTATATGAAGGGACACACTCAATCAACTTATATGAAGGGACACACTCAATCAACTTATATGAAGGACACACTCAATCAACTTATATGAAGGGACACACTCAATCAACTTATATCAAGGGACACACTCAATCAACTTATATCAAGGGACACACTCAATCAACTTATATGAAGGACACACTCAATCAACTTATATGAAGGGACACACTCAATCAACTTATATGAAGGGACACACTCGATCAACTTATATGAAGGACACACTCAATCAACTTATATGAAGGGACACACTCAATCAACTTATATGAAGGGACACACTCAATCACACTCAATCAACTTATATGAAGGGACACACTCAATCAACTTATATCAAGGGACACACTCAATCAACTTATATCAAGGGACACACTCAATCAACTTATATCAAGGGACACACTCAATCAACTTATATGAAGGGACACACTCAATCAACGTATATGAAGGACACACTCAATCAACTTATATCAAGGGACACACTCAATCAACTTATATGAAGGAACACACTCAATCAACTTATATGAAGGGACACACTCAATCAACTTATATGAAGGGACACACTCAATCAACTTATATGAAGGAACACACTCAATCAACTTATATGAAGGAACACACTCAATCAACTTATATCAAGGGACAATCAACTCATATCACTCAATCAACTATATGAAGGGACACACTCAATCAACTTATATGAAGGAACACACTCAATCAACTTATATGAAGGGACACACTCAATCAACTTATATGAAGGGACACACTCAATCAACTTATATGAAGGGACACACTCAATCAACTTATATCAAGGGACACACTCAATCAACTTATATCAAGGGACACACTCAATCAACTTATATCAACTCAATCAACTGATATCAAGGGACACACTCAATCAACTTATATGAAGGAACACACTCAATCAACTTATATGAAGGACACACTCAATCAACTTATATGAAGGAACACTCAATCAACCTATATGAAGGAACACACTCAATCAACTTATATCAAGGGACACACTCAATCAACTTATATGAAGGGACACACTCAATCAACTTATATGAAGCGACACACTCAATAAACTTATATGAAGGGACACACTCGATCAACTTATATGAAGGGACACACTTAATCAACTTATGACCATAATACCACTTTTCATACCTTGATAAAATGCCACCATTTTTTAAAAACAGCGACCATAGTTTTCTCAGATTTACAGGAAGTGAAGATCTCTGACAAAAATCATACAGAAAATTAATCCTCTTTTGAAGGCCAAAAACCGTCTCCGCAAAAAGAGTATCATCGTCAGCAAATAGCAGGAGGAACAACTGAATATATTCGAGGTGGAACTGAACCCCTGGGAAACATCCTAGCTCAATATCCTTAGCCAAATCATTGATAAATAAGTTATACTTAAACTGCAGCCCTGACGGACGCCAAGTTTACTCTCAAAGCTATTAGAAAATTGATTATCAAACTTCACACAAGAAGACACACGATTTTAGATAGAACGGATACAGTTGAACATCTGAGCCAACTAGAGCCACAGTACGCTGATATGAAGTCTCCTTCGTTTCAAATGTTTTGCATGCAATGTCTGTATCTGGAACGCCAAATATCCACGTCGACCCTTCTGAAGCACTATTTACAAGCAATAGCAGATAACACACACACACACACACACACACGCGCGCGCGCGTGCGAGCACGCAATCACACACACTCCAGCATACTCGGAAGCATGGAGACTGAGGTTATGAGAAAATTACTTGAAAAATCTGCACAAGGCTGTATGACAAAAGGGATCATTTCAAATTTCCAGTCGTCATTTTTTCCTTCTGACCGGGCAAAATTCCAACGGTTCCAGCCTTTTGTGTTTACATTTCACAACTTCTGCATAACGTTTGTATTAGAATCAAGCATGCCCGTATTAGCAAGTCTTAGAGAGCGTCTTGAGACTCTTCAGATGTTGTTTTATCAAATTTACCGTTCGAGGCCTCAGCAAAGCTTTCAAACGGTGTTAGGGTAGACATATGGAGGACATATCACATTCTGATGCATCAGTAACAAAAGGACGTCTGAGGCAATTCCGTCATGCGGACTTGTTCCATACGTTCCATTGCGGATGGTAAAAGTAGCATGTGAAAATATTACACTGAAAGTATCATATGAAAAAAAAATAGACTACATACGTGACACTGTTTATTTTCTCATTTTGAATATATATATCAGTGAACAATCTTGAGTATACGGGTATTAACAGGTCATGATTGTAGATTAATGATTTTGAAAACGGTTTCAAATGCAAAACGCATTAACATTTTTATGTAGGGGGTGTGGGGTCGAGGTGCATGGATTGAGTAACTACCCTTGTTCTTCCAGACACCTGACATGTTACCTGCGCACACGATCCAATCACATGCCCCGACATTAGCCATTACTTCGAATATGTTCATAAAGCAATAACAGCAAATTTACATTAAATGCTTAAAATTGTGATTTTAAAGATGGACAATAACCCTAAGCATCCAAGTGTGAACCTTGTAACTGACGAAGTGAGACGTTCTGTGTGTAATTAAGGCAAACGATCACTTCGTATGAACGTGTGAATATGCATAAAAGGTTTGGGTTTTACTCAGACGCTTCGTCAAGAAAGGTATGTTTACGAAACACGTAGAAATTCTCTCATGTGGGTGTTGACGACATCTGGACAATCCATCTGCACCCAGTGACTGGCGTCCTCCACATACTTGATGGTCAGAGAGCCCGTGTACTTCTCTGCCAGTGGGGCAAGACCTCTCTCTATCGCCCCGTCCTTGCACCCCCAGATCAGAAGGGTAGGGGCAGGTATCTTCTTCTGGGGTGGTGGCACAGTGCGTGGCATTGCCCGGATGTAGTTAAGGGGACCGGTAAAGCTGCCTGGAAGGGAGAGGCGCGTATGTATAAACAATCTTAATTGACCTATGAATAATCGGAAGAAGGAAACTATGTTTATCAACATGGTGAATGTATGGTATGGTCAAGTCAGTCAAGACCTCGCATTAAAATCACATCTTTAACTCTGATACGATACCACCCATTTTAAACATCTGAGGACACTCCCGAAGGAGCTGTCGTCGGTGATACTTCTAAAAAGGCAGTTAGCGTTGGCACACTCACATTGTCGGTACGAGTGGGTGAGGTATTCGGACCAGCTTATCTTCATTTCCGTACACCCTGTCGTTTTTAACACGCACACAAACGGGAGTAAGATCAAAGCAAAATAGCAAAACTTGTCTACTCTTTGGATGTCCAAAACTTGTCTACCCTTTGAATGTCCAAAACTTGTCTACCCTTTGGATGTCCAAAACTTGTCTACCCTTTGGATGTCCAAAAGAGTTTGTGAACAAAACATGTTGTGTGATCAAGGTTGTGGTTCACCTGACGCGGTCTCAGACAGGAAACATACCAGGGCAAAGACATGGCTTACATGTAAATGAGCTTAAAATCTTATCTTATCTTGGAATGGCATAAAATGCCTCTTACCTAATGTTGGGAAGGCATACTTATAAGCCTCTACTTCTTCCCGTGAGAACTTCTTACATCGAGTCCCCCAAACTCTGCCGTTAAAAATGACTTCCAACATCCTCCTGTCCCGGATACAGAAGTACAGCTCAGGCAAGAAAGGGACGGAGAAGAAAAATTGGAACCTGCAACAGGGACGAAAGTATCTGCAACATGTGCTGTCAGGAGGAGGAAAAAAGAGCACCAATAAATCGAACCCGTATCTTTAGTGTGATGCTTTAACAACTAGGCCACCCTACCGCAAGAAACAGGACGAAGAAGGAATCTTCAACATGTACGGAGGAAGAAGGAATCTTCAACATGTACAGGAGGAAGAAGGAATCTTCAACATGTACAGGAGGAAGAAGGAATCTTCAACATGTACGGAGGATGAAGGAATCTCTTCAACATGTACAGGAGGAAGAAGGAATCTTCAACATGTACGGAGGAAGAAGGAATCTTCAACATGTACAGGAGGAAGAAGGAATCTTCAACATGTACGGAGGAAGAAGGAATCTTCAACATGTACAGGAGGAAGAAGGAATCTTCAACATGTACAGGAGGAAGAAGGAAACTTCAACATGTACAGGACGAAGAAGGAATCTTCAACATGTACGGAGGAAGAAGGAATCTTCAACATGTACAGGAGGAAGAAGGAATCTTCAACATGCAGGAGGAAGAAGGAGGGAAGAAGGAATCTTCAACATGTACAGGAGGAAGAAGGAATCTTCAACATGTACAGGAGGAAGAAGGAATCTTCAACATGTACAGGAAGAAGGAATCTTCAACATGTACAGGAGGAAGAAGGAATCTTCAACATGTACGGGAGGAAGAAGGAATCTTCAACATGTACAGGAGGAAGAAGGAATCTTCAACATGTACGGAGGAAGGTACAGGCGGAAAGAAGGAATCTTCAACATGTAATCTTCAACATGTACAGGAGGAAGAAGGAATCTTCAACATGTACAGGAGGAAGAAGGAATCTTCAACATGTACAGGAGGAAGAAGGAATCTTCAACATGTACAAGAAGGAAGAAGGAAAGAAGGAAACTTCAACATGTACGGGAGGAAGAAGGAAACTTCAACATGTACGGAGGAAGAAGGAATCTTCAACATGTACAGGAGGAAGAAGGAATCTTCAACATGTACAGGAGGAAGAAGGAATCTTCAACATGTACAGGAGGAAGAAGGAATCTTCAACATGTACAGGAGGAAGAAGGAATCTTCAACATGTAGAAGGAATCTTCAACATGTACAGGAGGAAGAAGTGTATTGGAGGAAGTATGCACAGGAGGCAGAACGTCCACATGCAGGAGAAGGAGAAAGACTTAAAAGGAACGTGTATTGGAGGAAGTATATGCAGACATTTGAAGCATAGGAAGCCAATAGCCATAAAAATGTGCCTACAGAAGGGATCTTAAACGGAAAGGAAGGGAAAAAACTACATTCAGAGGGACACTGATCGCTAACGTCTATGTTTACAGACAGATAATATTGACAATTGGGGTAATTTAGGTATCTGTAGTAGTGAGTGCAATATGAAATCATATGTTGGCATAGGAAGCCAATACCAGGACCTACAGAAGGGATATTAAATGGGATGAAGAAAACCTACATTCAGAAGGGCCGGGAATCGTAAGCGTCTGTGTTAACATTATCTTTGACATTTGGGGGAAATGTAGGTATCTATATCTCTAAAGCAGCGACTGTAATATCAAATCATATTTTAATATATGTAACTGCATAAATCCGGGTTAATATTCATGCTCCATGCAAAAGTTACCAAGACTTCTTGAACTGGGCCCAGTGTGTGACGACGTATCCCATGAAGGACAATGGGTGAGGGCAGTTCATGACGATCAGCTTGTCCACCACCTCAGGGTACATTCCAGCCACTGTCCACGATACAGCACCGCCCCAATCATGACCCACCAGTACGCAGGACTCGTAACCTGTAGTTACACATATATGTATACCATCATGGCCTAACAGTGCATAAATACACAACGTCGTGGCCCACAACACACAGGATAAGAAGCCTATAATAATACGCAGCACTGAAACCCATGGTTAACCAACACATAAAACTTCATGTTCCAAACTGGTTCGCAACAAGCAGACTCGCTGATGCATTTCATTGTATCAAAATGCGTAGCTCGATTTAACGATGTCAATCACTGGAATGCCTTGTCATATTCGACCATTTACACGCAAAATATTGCTGTGTGCGTTGTTTAAGGCACTATATAACACCACACTTATAAATAAAATACATAATTAGATACATTTCTACCACATAACTTATTCCAAAATAAACTACGTATTTAGATAACAATATTAAATAAAAAGTGTAAATGAATTAATGCAACGTTGCATTAAATCGACTCACCCTCTACCGGCCGAACATTATTCAAGCGAACCACATAGAGTTATGTCCCTTGGAGCGCTCTTTATGAATATCCTATAAATCATTTCAGCTTGAAACCAGTTCGAAAACACCACCAACACCACGCGCGACAGTTTTCGATGTACGGAGCAATTGTTTACATTTCAAATATGGCAAGTGTTCTCTGTTTGGAAACTGTTCGCCTCGAAGCTTCAATTATCGATTTCAGGCAATACAAGTCGCAAGTGATAATACGCCTTTTGGTGCATCAATAGGAAGCTAAAGTGAGTGCATATGCCCCAATATATATAGGCCAAAACATTATCGAAAATATGTGACATTGTGCCTTTAAACATCAATAAAACAAAGAAGCTGTTACTCTGTTACTATGTGGTTAAGACTACCAAAACATCAGGCATTATGAGGGGCGGTGGGGTATCCTAGTGGTTAAAGCGTTGGCTCGTCACGCCGAAGACCCGGGTTCGACTCCCCTCATGGGCACAATGTGTTAAGCCCATTTCTGGTGTCCCCCGCCGTGATATTGCTGGAATATTGCTAAAAGCGGCGTAAAACCAAACTCAGTCAGTCAGTCAGGGATTATGATCATGCACAACTATCCCGTGTGTCTTATTTGTCTTATAACGGCCATGATACAACCTTCGAACCTACCTAGAGCTGGTACAAGCTGTTTGATGTCCTTGGCTAATTCACCAAGACCGTAGTTGCTGATCCCAGAGGGCTTGTCAGACTCCCCATATCCACGGAGATCGATGGCAACAACTCTGGACAGAAAATACAGTTCTTTTGGGATATGTTAATGTTCGGCCGTGACTTGCCGTGTTCAGCCTAATGTAGCTGACAGTACAAGATACCCATACATTTATCATACCGTAACTTCTACAAACATTACTTTCTGCGTTGAGTTGGGTTGGAGTGAGTGAGTATGGTTTTACGCCGCTTTTAGCAATATTCCAGCAATATCTAGGCGGGGAACATCAGAAATGGGCTAAACACATTGTATCCATGTGGGGAATCGAACCCCGGCTTTCGGCGTGACGAGCGAACGCTTTTACCACTAGGCTACCCCACCGCCCCGAGTTGGGTTGGAATTCAAGTTGATTTGGATTACGTCGGTGTTTGTATCGATAATAACAAGGATTAGGCTGCGTGTGTTTCTGTCGTTTTCTGGGACACCTACCTGTAGTATTTCTTAAATTCTCTTATCTGACAACGCCATGAAAACCAGAATTCAGGGAGGCCGTGTATCATCAACATCAACGGCTTGTCCTCGTCCCCGGCAGCAACATAGTGGAGGCGGACGTGCTGTTAGGGGAGATAACTCTCAGAGATTATATTGTCAGGTGCATTCAAATGTAACAAATCATCGACTGTGGGTGAAACATTTATCCGGCTCCAAGTGGTAACATAAATAAGTTGGTGTTCTGTCATCACATCATGGAGAATGGCTATTATGGAATCTAGACTTGTTCTGTACCATTGAAAATACTGTCGGTTTTAAAACTGTTTTACCGGCTACTAGATAAATAGTGATGTTTTATACCCTACAGCAAGAACGCTCATACAAAATGCCTTGTATTACAGGAAAACCTATGCTGTATTTTTCTGACACACAAATGTTCAAAGAATACAATGAAACGATTGGCTATTTTGCCTATTTTAAAAAAAAAAAAAACAAAAACAAACTTTATTCAACACATGTTGGAAATTATTTCAAGTCTATAATGAGCTGGCCTATTGTTGTAAGATGAAAGATGGGTGTTCTTTAGTTCTGTTGAGAAGTATACATGGAGCTGTCTAATTGATTGTACAGTTACAGAATACACTGCACTGGATCAAGGTCGCGTTATTGGAAAATAACTTTTCTAATACAGAATACGAGGATACCGTTCGTTATTTTTGCATTAATTGCAAAACATAAATGAGCACAGGTTGGAAAAATGAATTGAAGTCAGTTTCATTAATAAACTCTGTCAAAAAAGAAACGCAACCCCTGTCCTCAGATATGAAAAATTCGTTTGAATGAAGTTATTGCTTCCAAACTAAATTTTATTCGAATGTATTGAAATTATACACGTAATTAATGAAGATTACCATCCAAAGAACTGCATTTGTACGCATAAGTGTATTTTATTGCTTATTCCGTCACAACGCATGAAATGACCCTCATGGTGACTTCGCACAAAAACACATGCAAATCATGAAAATGGCAGTTAATGTAGGGGTGTATAAAGCCCATGTGCTTTCGTATTATATTCATTCATTTGTCGCCGAAAAGCTGTGTTAAAATGACACGATTGAGTGCTGCCGACCGAAATATCGCCATTGGTCGTGTTCAAGCCGGAGAAAGTTTTGGAACTGTTGCACGGCACCTAAATGTTCACAAAACAACGATATCCCGACTTTGGAGCCGCTACAACAACTTCAATTTGACCAACGATCGCCCGAGAAGTGGAAGGCCAAGAATCACGACCCCCCTTCAAGATCGGTACATCCGGGTCCATCACCTGCGTAATCGGCATGCCCTACCAACCGTGACTGCCACACAAATACCAGGTTTGAGGAGAGTGTCAGCTCAAACGATTAGGAACCGTCTGAAAGAAGCGGGTTTACGTGCCTGTAGACCAGTTGTTGGACCTGTACTACGCCCCCTACATCCAACAGCTACGCCCCTGCGTCCGACAGGGGGACAGATTTGGCGGAGAAAGCGTTATGGTTTGGGGATCCATCTCATACAACCAGAAATCAGACTTGGTGATCGTTGAAGGGAACCTGACAGCCCAACGTTACATCAACCACGTATTACAGCCTCACCTTCTCCCGATTATTGACCAACAGACACAGATTTTTCAACCAGACAACGCCCGGCCTCATACTGCACGTGCAACAATGAACTTTCTGCAGAATTCCAACGTCAATGTCTTGCCATAGCCCTCTAAATCACCAGTAGACTAACAACTAGTCTCTGAAATGAACATATTTTACTGAAAAAAGTTCATAGTAAAAAAAATAAAATATAATGAAAAGGAGCCCTGAGACTTTCTTCATTTTCAGAGACTAAACAAATCTGCAGAGGGATAATTTCTTGGAATTTCACAACACATGCAAAGATTCTTATCACCCATTACTGCTTTAATTGTGTGTGACAGGAATATTTACTGCCCCCACCACCTCCAGGTCCTACTGCCAGTTGTGTGGGCCGATTTGGGGTAATGAGTATCAAGTGTCGCCAAATCTATTTTGAGAGCAGGCAGGGATACCAGCTAAGGGTAGCATCTCTTGATATTCCTATGGCTGGACAACTGGATCTCAAAAAAAAATAATCCAAAGTTATTTATATTCTCCAAAATCCAAAGGTTGTGACTGCACTATATGTGGAAATTTAATTGATGTCGCATATATATAATGTAACAAGCAGAAAGTGTCATCAATATCCCCCGCAGCATCCTCATAGCCACAGCCTCCATGAAAAGTTACGTTTCCACGGAAACCGGAAAAATAAAATTCATATCTTGGTCTAAACCCCAAAAGGCACATCTATGGATCATACTTGACATATGTTCCAAGTTTGATGAAGCTTGCATGTATAGTTTGGAAGATCTGCTCCGGACAAGATGACTGACTGAGTTGGTTTTACGCCGCTTTTAGCAATATTCCAGCAACATCACGGCGGGGGGACACCCGAAATGGGCTTCACACATTGTACCCATGTGGGGATTCGAACCCGGGTCTTCGGCGTGACGAGCCAACGCTTTAACCATTAGGCTACCCTACTGCCCCCCCGGACAAGATGACATCCTCATGGTCACAACAGCCTAAGTCACGTTTCCATGGAAACCACAAAAAATAAAATTCATATCTGGGTCTTACCATCACATGGCACATTTATGGATCGTGCTTGATATGTGTACCAAGTTTGATGAAGCTAGCATGTATAATTTAGGAGCTTTGCTTCGGACAAGATGACATTCTCATAGTCACAGCCTAAGTCATGTTTCCATGGAAACAACAAAAAAATAACATTCATATTTGGGTCAAACCCAAAAGGCACATGTAGGGATCATGGTTGACATGTGTACCAAGTTTGGTTAAGCTATCACGAATAGTTTAGGAGATATGCTTCGGACAAAACGTGACGGACGCACGGACGGACGGAACTCGTTTCTATATTCCCGCAAATTCGTTGTTGCGGAGGATAACAATATGCCATCAGATCCCCATGACAATGTCTTTTTAAAGTTTATGGATAAAGTCACAAATGCCTACATTGTTGAGGTACACTGCTTTGAGCCTAATGATTTATATTTCTCTGTTTGTCTCTTCATCATGCAAATCAAGGATGACACAAAAACAACAGTAGCATGGCTTGTATTTTCTACTGACTTGTCTGAATTGGGAGAATTTCGAATGTCCTGGATGGAGAACAAAACAACACATCTTCACCACTTAAGTACTTTTCAATCATTGTATTCTGATTTGGACGAATGCTGTGTATATTTGCTTTCATCCTCATCAAAGTTCCAATTCATTTTTACCCTGAGATGGAAAACTTTTCGAAATGATCCCCTCTCCTCGCCAGTGTAAAATGAAACAGTTAAAGAAAATACTCAGATTTTATAAGTCATCAGGTCTCTAGTGTAATCACACATGTTGTTTGTCTGGGGTGAGAGGACAGGCAGAAGCAGGAGGTCTTGGCTCAGTGTGGGGTCTTGGGGAGAGGTGGGGGAGGCTCCCCATGAGTTAATATTAAACACTAGTGACAGCTAGAGATCAACTGATAATTACAAGCCATATTCTGGCTTGTGAATTCAGCAGATTGGTACAGACCCTGAAGCTGAGGAAATCTAGACTTGCCACATTTTCTAGACTTGTGTGGGCTTTCTTGGATATATTTGCTTCAGGGTCTGTACGAGTGTCGTACTTCTTCCATGATATCCTCAACCCAGATTTCACAATAACATAAATCATACGTATTACCTGGAAGATTGACAGGACGAATCCTATCGATAGGGTAACGGCAGTCTGGACATACTCCTTCAGCCCCATGCCGTACTGTGATAGACTCTGACACCCTGATAACCAACTGTTCACGCCGCAATCGCGTAGGCTACGTTGTCTGGTGTCGCTGCACGGAGCTGTTTTATACTGCATGTTGTATGGGACGACCCCATGTTTGCACCGGGTGGGTTTGAAAAGGGGAACTCATGTTATTATTGGCTACCTATTCTGTTATCGTCCACCATACCTCCATATTACAACACGCGCCAACACGACATGAATGAACGATGACAATGCACAAACGTGCACAACAACTTACTGTTTTTGACTCGTAATAGTTGCATAGCATTTTGTAACATGTTTATTGCTTTGGTCGAGGTTAGGTTTTCGATGCTGTTGCCGTTGATGCCGTTGTTGCAAGGCGACGTTTTGCTGAGTTATTGTTTCAGCCTGGTTCCCTGGGTATGCTGAGCTGGCGCTTCTGTGAAGCGTGGGGCTGATGATTCACTATATCGACAAACTGGATAAAAACTTCTCACATTTTTAGATACTTTCTTTCGACACACATTCTTGTGCCGTTGTCGAGAATCCGTTCCTAAACGTCCCACTCACGAAATGAAATAAGTTGTATCCATACAGTTTGTCGATATTTTACTTTCTAACTTCTAAAATACCACTCCGAGAGATGATGAAGCACTGTACAAAAAGTGAAGGGTTTATCTATGGTCTTTAAAATAAGTAGAGGATATTAAATAAAAAGGTGTCACGACTATTGATATGTTATATCTTTCACGAAATATCAGGGACCTCTGACTGAGAGTTGCATTAGTCGTGGTGTAGTGGGTAGAGTGTCCGCCCGGAGAGCGGAAGGTCGCGGGTTCGATCCCCGGTTGCGTCATACCAAAAGACGTTAAAATATGGTACTTGTTGGTCCCTGTCTGGCGCTCGGCATTAATGGGTACAACAAGGACTGGTCGGCTCGGAGTCAGTATAATGTGTCTGAGTGGGGTATTCATGCTTAACTGCGGCATGGTATCTCAGTGGGCTAGCACTATAAAACCAGCTTAAGACTGGGCTAGTACAAGCAGCCACACATACACATACACACGCATGCACGTCGTCATATGAGCGAAATATTCTTAAGAGCGACGTTAAACACCATTTCACCTCACCTCACCTCACCATTGAACGTCAGAAGAGCATAGGTTTTCGGTGATTGGCCAAAGCGCCTTACTGTTCCATCAAACGTCAAACTCATTTATATCACGTGAATCAGCCTCTATTCTCAAGCCCATCCAGGAATAGAC